AAAAATAAAAATAGAAAATAAATACAATAATTAATTGACGAATAATAGAATAATTAATTGGATAAATCGATTATATATTCAAATATCGCCAAGAAAAAAATGTAGAATATTAAAAGGTGTGAAAAAGAAGAATTTATTTTAGAAAACAATTAAAAAAAAGAAAAAGAAAAAAATTCTTTTTCGAACGATCCAACAACGGGTATTTCCTTAAAAAAGGAAAATATATCGGGTGTGACCGTTTTTTAAAAAGCAGATGTCAACTTTTTCCCTTTTTATTGAAAATCGACTGGTTGCTTTTGGTTCCTTGGAGAGAGAGAAAGAAAAAGGAGATTGGAACGTCAGGATGCTTTTATAATATACAATAAACATGTACTCTTGTGTGTTGTGTTGTTAGTTGTGTAGTAGTAGTAGTAGTTGCTGCTTTTTCCTCGCTTACGTTAAAGATATACCTAACCTTAATACACACGTACACACATATATATGTAAGTAACTATACTTAAGTATATTATATATACACCACCTATACATGGAAACAACAGTCAATCGGACATAGAAAATCGACGAGGACTTTATCACAGTCGATTGAAATGGAATTGCATTTTGCGAAAGGGATGGGGAGGGGGAGTAGGGGACAGAGAAAACAGACAGAGAAAAAAAAGAAAAACCTCAGAAAGAATGAGGATAAAAATGAAAAAAAAAACAAAAACAAAAAAAATAAATAAAATGTCGGACGAGTAGAAGGAGTAGGAATAAGAGTAGGAGTAGTTGGTGAGATGGGAGGGCGGGGGGCGGGGGCGGGGTAAGGAGAAGAAGCTTGACTGTACGTCAATGTAAATTCTTGGGAAGCAGATAAATCGTGCACTTTTGACCTTTGTCCGAGTGATACGCTTTTGCTGAAGAGTCAAACAGAAAAGGACAGTGAATAAGAAAGAAAGAAAGAAAGAAAGAAAGAAAGAAAGAAATGGAGATACGTAGTGGTACGTGAGAAGAGGGCAAAAGTAGAAAAGAAAGAGAGAAAGAGAGAGAAAGAGAGAGTTTTCGATTGGTACTTTTCTCTCTTTCTCTCGTTTTTCTCTTCGAGTACGAGTGCTCTCTCAACTCAGTGTCTTTGTTCGAGCCTGTCGTGAATGAGATCGGGATACTCGAGTTAGAAGCGCGTTTATTACGTTGTGTAGACGATAAAAGCTGAAACGTATCTATCTATCTATCTATCTATCTATCTATCTGATGGTGATCATCGAGAGAAACCAGAAATAACCGAGCAATCGAATCCTTTCTCTTTTTCTTTCCTTTTTTTTTTTTTTCTGTCCCCTCCGATATTTCTCGTTTTCTTCTACTTCTACTTCTTCTTCTTCATCTTCATCGTCAGCATCAGCGTCAGCGTCGTCGTCTTTGATTTTGTGATCCCGAACTCAGCAGGTATTTCTTTTTATTCTTTTTTTATCCTATCTATAATATTATCATCTTTTTATAGAAGATCTTTTTTCTTCCCTCCCTCCACACCCCCACCCCCCTCTCCCTCGGCTCGATCATATATTTCTTCTCTTTTTTTCTTTTTTTTTTCCTTTTTCTTCTTATTCCATTACACGTAGCAACCATTGAAAGATTCACTTTCCTCCCCCCTCCCCC